ACCCTGTGCCCATGACAGGGTCTGACAATATGGAGTGGGCTTGAATTCTAGTCTGCATAGGCTCCTTAGCATTGAAATAGTCTTCTTGCATCCACTGAATGTATCCCATATCCTGAACTCACATTTACCAGGACCACAATATGGGGTCAGGAGGGTGTGTACTCCGCTAGATTTCACTGGGGCAGCCACAGTTTTAGGTCCTGAATAAAGTATGTTACTAAATTTCCACTTTTTCCTCCACTTCTCTCCATTTCTGGGATCAGGGAAATGAAAAAAGTAAAATTTCCTCCTACTTTCTTCAGTGTGTCTTTTCTGACATCTGGGCTACACACTCAGTGCTACAATCTCTCACCTGGTTTCCTTAACTCTTGTGAAGGTGTGTGTATGTGTGGAGCTGTTCAAACTGCTGCTTCTCTGTGGACATGAGTGCTGGACATCTTTCTTTCAACATTTCGATGATAGCCTTACCACACTTTGAAAATTCTGATGACTAAAATACATCACCAGTAGGGTACTGAGAATTAATTACAATAACTTTAAATAAATAAAAGTAAATAATTATGTAAGTGCATTGCATAATTACACTGCTTTACCTTATTTTAGAAGCATAATTCCTTAATGTAAATAGTTACAACATACAATAGATACATAGGGTGATCTAAAACCAGGGTGAATACTGTATTTACATGTTTTAAAAAAATTATTACAGTAAAAGACATACTGCTATTAATCCCCTTCAAACTACTCTCCCTCTAAACATATTTATCCCATCATTCTTGCCACTTTATGAAGAAGTTCTTGATGTCCTTTCTACTGTCTGGGGTTACACCTTCATGACTGCCTGGATGTTCTCAATCAAATAACAGGGTCCCAGCCTCACCACCTGCCAGCCCAAGCCAGCCTGTCCCTTAAATTGGAACAAAATGGCCCAGAGCCTGCCCCGTGCCCACAGCCTCAGGGCCTGCAGGAGGCTGGGTGTCCCTGAAGACCTGCTCCCTCTTCTACCCTGGCTGTGGCCTCCTCTGCCCACCTGGACCCCAGCCCGGACCGCACTCCCTGTCCCCACCTCTAGGCACCTGCGTCTGTAGCCCTTTGCTGCCCTCCTGACTGCCAGGCTGTGCTTGTTTCCAGAAGATCATGAATGAACGGCCCCTTTGGAAGGGAAGGTCCTTGTCCTTCACCTCCTCAGAAGGGCAGACAGGGACTGAACACCCCAGCCCTTGCCTCGCTCCCTTCTTTCCTTCCAACCAAGTCTCCATCAAAGGAACAGCTGCAAAGGGCATTTTCCAGCCATGCAGAAATCCGGTGTCCCTGGGGAAGAGGAGAATAAGCCAGCGCACTGGATGACTCCATCCGCTCCCTCATGGGCACTACCCAGGGGGCGGAAGCACAGAGCAAGGGCTGAGAAGTGGGTTGACTTCATGCCCTACTTTCTGGCCTGATGGTGCTGTTCAGTCTCCCAGTCTCAGTCTGCCCAGCTTAACATGGGGATAAGAAGAGCACTTGGCGGGCTAGTGTGCAATGGCAGAAAGCAAGGCTGACAGGCACTCCTGGTGGGAGCTGGGACTGCAGGTGGGGAAGGGCTGGCTGAGGGGAGACAGGGCCAACCTCACCCTGCATTGTGGGTGTGGCTGCACAACTCCAGACACCCAGGAAACACAGCTGGAGTGTAAGCTTGAAACCTGTGAGCAGATGTGGACTGTGTCCCAGGGAAGCCCTTCGAAGCTCCCTGCCTTACTCGGTAGACCTGAGCTCTTGTTCATTCCTCTCCCCAGACCACCCACACTGCAACCACATTGGGCACAGGAGGCCAGGCAATGCTGGGCCCACAGAGGCCTGAATGGAGGAAAGGCACAGGGCTCATTCGTCTGGCTCCCCAAGCTGAGGTGGTGGTCCCTGAGAGGAACCCTGCATGTGCCCGGGATCACAGACTCCTGAGACCGGGGGTCCTGACCCAGGGACCCTCAAGCCCCTCTCTTCCGAACCAGCTTATCATTTCAGGGTCCTCAGTGACCACAGAAAATCAGCCCAGTTCTTCCTGCCTGGCAAGTCCTGAGACTGTGTCACACAGGATATATCCCGTGGGGAACCTCAAGGTGACACACATAGTTCCCCCACCACACTCTTTGTACCTGCTGTCACAAGGCCAGAGCATCACACTGGGGCCAGCTCCTACATCCCGGGCACAGGAGCTGGGTCTAAAGCCAGAGTGGGAAGTCCCAGGAGACTGGGAGAGGGAGTGGGCAGAGGCGCCTGAGTAAACATGGGGGGAGAAAGAGACACCATGCCTGGGTCCCTGGGGACCTCAGAAGGAGGTGGGGAGCTCTGAGCCCAGTGTGCCCACTAAGCACAGGGCAGGGCGGGGAGCCAGGAGCTGCTTTCCCGAGGGAGGCTGCAAGCCAAGCCCTGGACAGTGACATGTGCCAGCTCCGTCCTCCCCAGCTATAGACCTGCCTTGTTTTCTCAGAGAAGCAGTCATCCATGGTACAGGTCTCGGGCATCCAGGTCCCTGTACCCAGAAGAGGTCTGTCTGGAGGGGAGCGGTGGGTGTCTGGGTGGATACTTCAGCACCAGACACGGAGCAGAGCCTGTCCCACCCGAAGCTCACCCAGACCCTGCCTGGCTCCTGTCAGTGGGTGGCATTTCCCAGAGACCCTGCCCAGCAGCTGCATCCCCAGATGCTCCCTGCAGATGGCCAGACTCTGGGTAGGGGGATCTTCTGGCCTGCAGCATCCACAGGGCTTTCAAAGGCTCTCAGAAATCCCGCAGCAAGACCCTGTTTCTCCTCATTCAACTCAACCTTCTTCAGAGCTAATTCACCCTAAAAACTCTTTACATGCAGCACCACTTGCCTGAAAAGTCAAGGTTCCAGGATCCAAACTAAAACTCACTTTGTCTTCCCAAACTCTGAGGCTGAAAGAGTGCTCTGGGAATCAGGGCAAAGCTCCGAGGCCCTGGCCGGCCAAGCCTGCAGCTGCTGCCTGAGCCCCTGGGCTGCCGGGTGAGCAGAGCCAGCTCAGCTCTGTGGCGGGCTGGGAGGAGGAAACGCTGTCTGCCTTGGGTGCCCACAAACCGGCCGATGCCCACTGTTCCGCCTTCTGCCCGACACAGAGCAGCCTCATGCACTTTCCAGAGACCCACACTCAGGGTAGGGTGCGGGGGCCTTTGGCGGCTGGAGGAGACAGGGCACAGCTGTGTTCCCATAAAATTGATTCTCACAGTGGGCAGCAGGGAGGCCTGGGCCGTTGACCTCAGGGACCACAGCGGACTCCCCGTACTGTGCCCGCAGCACGGTCTCATTGGGCAGTGATGCGAGGCCAGATGTTCCAGGTGCCACATGGAGGAAAGAAAGCAGCAGGTGGAACCAGTTTGTATATTTGATTTACACTAATGTCCACTACACTGACGGATCTGTATGTAACCCGGATTCCATATGTGTTGTTCTGAGTACAAAGGGTTTGACATCTGTCTGTTCTCCACTAATGGTGCATCTCACTGGGACTCGGCCACTCAGCAAGGACTAGGCAGCTACGTGCTGATCAATCAGGGCTGCACACCATGGGGTGACTCTGGGCTGCTGCCCAGGCCGGCTGAGCCCAGCCCCTGTGCTCCTGAGCAAGCCAGGCCTCACACGCACCTGCTCCCGCTCTGCCCTTCAAGCCTCGCCCACATCACAATTCTCCCTTTCCTGACATTTCAGGGCAGCACAGAGACATGCTGCTGTTTGCTCCATCACAAAAGCAACCTTCTCTTGTCAGTTAGCAACAGCTTTTTAGTCTCCTTTCTGTGAAGAATCCTCAAAAGAACCATCCACATGTACTGTCTGGCTCCTCCTCTCAGGCTCTCTGCAGCGGGCTCTGCTCACACTGGGCCTCCTCCTCCAAACCCTGCTCTGCCCAGTCCCCACCCACCCTGTCCCCACCTCACCTGGGTTCCATCCCACCTGGCTGGGGTCTCTCTCTCTGTCTCTCCCTCCCTCCCCCCGTCTCTCTCTCCCTCCCTCCCTGCCCCCCCCCCCTTGCTGGCTCTTCCCTTTCTCCAGCTTCTCAGCTTCCATCCCCTCTCCTTTCTCTCTGCTCACTGACCTTAGGAACCCTTCCTGTCCAGGGTTAGAAAGCCTTCCCTGAGACAATGACCCCTTATGTCCAGCCCCAGCCAGACCTTCCATTGCTCTCCAGGGAGGCAGAGCCACAGGTCCCTGCTCAGGGGACACTGGAACATCCAGCCCCTCTGCAGACCCCGAGCCCCAGCCTACCCTACTCAGCTCTCCTTAGCAGGAAGCTGCATCTCCCCAGTGCTGGACCCCGGAGGAACCTTTCCCTCTCTCTCCCTCACAGCCTCCTCCTCAGGGAGTCTCTCAGCTCTGCTCTTCTCTCTAAAGGCCTCCCCTCCAGCCTACCTGGCTGGCTCGGTCTGTCACCGCCCCCTCATCAACATCCCTGGCTCTGCTGCCCCTGCTCTCCTGTCCACCCTGCCTCCTCCTGTGCCCCAGCTCAGTACCGGGACCCTCTATGTACAGCCAGACTCCGTCACTCCACGCTCAGAGCCTCCCTGTGCACACCGCCCTCAGGAAGGAGCAGCTGCCCTCCTCCGGGCCGCAAACCCTGGGCCTGGCAGCGGCAAACCGTGGACTCCCACGTCCTCTGCAGCATCCTTGTCCCCGCGCTGACCCCTGCTGCCCCTCACACAGCTCCTGTTTCCGCCTGCAGGCCAGGACCCACCCCCAGGGGCTCCCCTTCCTTCCTCTCCCTTCCTCCCAGCCTCTCAGTAGGATTCAGCCCCTCAAGGGCTCCCAGGTTCCAGTCCAGGCATAGAACTATCCTGGAAGACGTTTCACACTTCGTGGATTTGTTTGTCACATGAACAAATAAAACTGGCAGGGCGCTTCACTCTCACCCAGTGTGATCAGGGGCTGACAGGGAAAGATTACTCCTCCTCAATTCCTGGGAAAGTCCCCCCTCAGGAGCCAAAGCAGTCACTCAGCTCCTCCCACCCAGAAGCCTTCCTGCCCCAGGCGCTGGGGAGCAGAGTCCGCTCCTCCACAGGACCAGGGCTCGGCGTCTGTCTAGGCCCACAGCTGCCCTTCCCGGAATTGCTCCCCACCCACAGCACAGCAGGCTGGGGCTTTCCTGCTGCAGAGGACCCCTGGGGCAGCACCCCCAGCCCAGGGAGAAGAGAGGGGGCAGCTGGCTGTCAGCACTACCACTGTGCAACTGCGGTGACCTCTTCAGGGCATCAGAGTGGCGGCCTCCCGCTGCAGTGGAGTCTGGACCCCGGGCACCTGCAGGGGACCAGGTGCGTTGTTCTCTCACCCTGAGAGCTCCCCACGCACAGGCTGACGTGGGTTGGGCAGGTCCTTGGGCTTTGGGGTACACATGGATCCCCTCGGGTTTCCTCCAGCAGGCAGCAGGCACCGCACAGCTGGGTGTCTGTCTCTGAGGGTCGCAGCCCTGTCGCAGTGAGGGCTTCCAGGCAGTGGTGATGCCAACAGTGCCAGCAGGGATGTGGCCAAGGCCAGGGAGGGTCCAGGAGCAGAGGGCTGGTGGGAGGGGCCTGGCCTGCTCCTTCCTGACCATGGTCTCAGGGCGATCGGTCTGGTCCACCCTGCAGCCATCCCCAAGCTCAGCCAGGCAGAGCACTGTTCCCCATCCTGGAGAGCTGGGGAGCAGAGGGACCTGGGCTGGGGCGGTTTCCTCTGGGAAGGGGGAGGAAAGGAGAGCAGACCCTCAAGGAGGATTTCAGGACAGGGCAGGGTTGTTCGCTGCAATAAAATAGCACAGTGTAAGTCACACCCAGACACAGGGAGAGAAATTTTCGCAAATGCAACTGGCACCAAAGAGGAAGAAGGGAGAGAAAGTGGGATAAAAAGAATTAAGATGCCTGTCCCCTAGGGTGAATGGAGACATTACATAACACAAACACACACTCATTAAATTCTTTGAAAGTACCACGGACACAAAAGTATGGCAGCCAGCAGTCACATTCTGGTTCTGAGGGATCCAGGTCAGGTCTCCTCAGCTCAGGGTGTCAGAGTCCCCTTTGCCACAGACAGGCACTGTGAGGAGTTCCTGTGTGTGTTTTGCTCACAAACCAGGACAGGAGCTCTTCCACTGGGCAGTGGTTTTAGCCTCTAAGTCTGGAAGACACAGACAAGTGTCCTGAGTCTGTGACCCTGCCAGCTCTGACCTCAGCTCAGTGGATAACGGAACCGAGCAATGAAAAATAAAGCTAAAACTGAAAATACAGGGATCTCATTAGTAAAGCAACGAAAATAAACTGAGCCTGAATACTTCTTGACTAAGCAAAACCAAGGCCAAAGCTGGAGCTCTAAGTGGGTCATTTCTTCCAAAGGCTTCTTTTAGAGGAAAGCGAAACTGAACCTGGCCCTTCTCACCCTCTGGGTAAACACAGAACAAAGCCTGCCTCGGAGACAGGAATGTAGTTTCTTGGGTCCACCAATCGCCAGGCTTCTACATCCTGCTTTCTCTTTTGCCCCATAAATACTGGCCAGCTGTGGACAACTTTCCAGTGGACATCCCACCTCTGCTGGGTAGGTTTTCCACAATTCACAAGTTGCTTTTTTCTCACAGGAGCTCCACATTTCCTTTGCGGTGATATACTGCCCACAGGCAGGCTGATCTCTTTAACAACAGACAAAGCCCTGAAGGAGACCAGGGAACTCCTGCACCTCGGGCTGCTGCCTCAGGATGAATGCAGTAAGTGCCTCTCAGTCCCTAGGGGAAATCTACAGCAGGTCCTGGCTGCTGCTGGACGCTGTCCTGGGGCTGCATGGAGGACCAAGCAGCGCCGGCTTTGGTTTTTTACAAATTGCATGACAATTCTCCTTTTACACCAGTGTCCACTGCACTGTGCTGGGAGGCAGTGGGTGCTTTGCAAGGCAGGGGTCTCCTTCTGTGTGCACAGGGCTTGGGGACTGGGGGATGGGGTGGGGGTGGGGCGTGGTGCTGCTGGTTTCTCTGGGGTCTGAGCTCCAGCCCCTCCCCAGTACAGCCTCTCGCACTTCCCATTCCAGGCTCTCCTCCCTCTCCCCTCCCGGCCCCTCTCTCTTCTGATCCTTACTCCCCTAAGTGGAGCTTCTCCCCCACCCCACCCGCACAGATGCCTGCTGCCTCCCCTTCTCCATCTCAAAAGGCAAACAAACAAGGTCGCCTTGGTCTGCTTCCCCTCTGTCACCGCCCTGTTCTGCAGGTTCTTTCCCAAGACCAAATCCTGAAAAACAGCCGGGCACCATCCGGCTCCTCCTCTCCAGCTCTCTCTGCAGTGGGCTCTGCTCACACTGAGCCTCCTCCTCCAAACCCTGCTCTGCCCAGTCCCTACCCACCCTGTCCTGGAACTCTAGAGGCTTCCACCCCATCTGCCTGCCTCTCTCTGTCTCTGTATCTCTCTGTCTCTGTCTCTTTCTGTGCTTCTCTTTGGGTCTCTCTCTCCCTTCACCCTCCCTCCCTCCTTTTCTCCCTCCATCCCCAAAGGTCTCCCTCACCCAGACCCTCTGGGACCCCTACCCCAGGAGAGGCAGGCCCTGGAGCATACTTGGGCCTTTCCTGCTGGTGGAGAACCCACCAGGGCAGCACCCAGTGCCCCCTTGAGACCCCTGGAAGCCAGCCTGGGTGAGGAGCTGAGGAGCTGAGGAGAGGAGCTGCAGGACAGGAGGCTGGGAAGGGCCAGGGAAGAGGAGTCCCGAGTCCCAGCAGCAAGGCCAGGGCCTGAGCACAAGGAGCAGCACTGTGTGAGTCCCACAACAGGGTCCTCATCACAGGCCTGCCCAGCCCCACCTTGAGACCTGGTCCCATGTGACCCTGGAGGGCAGGACAGCAGGAGCAAGCACTTTTCCAGGCAGGGCTGGAGGGACACAGGGCCAAGGAGAATTAGCACGGAGGTCCTTCCCACCAAAGACAAACTGTCAGCCAGGCTGCCAGGCTGCTGTGCTGGCTTGTGTAGTGGCTTTGCTGGATTTTTAGCTCTTCCTACTGAAATACAAATCCCACCTTCCCTGTAACCATGATCTGCCCGCTCAGTGGAGTGGGTGTCTCCATGCTTGTGCTCACTGTGGGCACAGCATGGCCCGCAGAAACCCTTGCTGACTGCAGAGGGAAGGGAGGAGCTGGGAGCAGCCTCTGCAGACAGGAGTGGACCAAGGGCTGCCTGTGCCCGGGCCACTGTGTGAAATGCCCTGAAACTTGGATGGGAGAAACTCACACTGCAGTTGAGAAACACTGAAGGCCTCACTGCTGTGGGCCTGGTAATTTAGTTTTACTGCCTGCATAGTGGAGCCCATATGCAGGTGGCAACCCTGAGGGCTCCCCTCAAACTGTGCACCCTGCACTGCTGGACACTGGGGGTTGCAGGCACAGGAGGCCTCAGACTTCCCTGCGTCCTGTGTGGCTGTGGAACCTGTTCTGATGGACACCAAGTCACTGACTCCTCCTAAGCTGCAGGGGCAGGGCCAGTTCCTTTCCCCAAATGCAGAGGCTGCCTCAGCAGCTGGCTGGGATTCTCCAGGATCCAGAGTGAGGCTGGGGGTCCACATCAGAGCCAGCAAACTGCAGGGTTCCAAGGATTGGACCCCAGGTGCACCTGGAGTCCCCAGGGAGCTCTGCCTACAGCCCTGTCCCAGGCTCACAGGGCAGCTTGCTCCTCCCAGCTCACTGGGCCCTGGGGCCACCACACAACTCAGCCCCTCTCCCTTCCTGCAGGGAGCAGTTACCCCTCTCCGTCTGACCCCCACCTTCAGCCCCTGGGTACCCAGAGCACCTGCCAAGTGTTTGCCTGGAAGGCCAGCCCTCTCCTTGCCTAGAGGAGCAGGGAGGGGGTGCAAGGGCAGCTCCCCCCGCCATGCTGAGCCCGCAGAGCCTGTGCCCTGCTCTCCTCATGAGGGCAAAGGGAGGGGCCTGGGGAGACCCAGGGGTGGCCCAGGAGAAGCCAGCTCCACCTGGCATCTGGGTTGCAGAGCTTGGCTCACGGCCTCTGTCCCTCTGCTTTCAGGGTCTTGTGATGTCTGCTCCCAAAGTCCTGGTGGGAGGTGCAGCTTTTGCCCTAGTTGTGCTCTATAAAGGGATAATTTCTGCTTCCGGAGCCGGAGCTAACACTGTGAGTATGGAAGTCCTGGGTGGGCAGTAAGATGTCCCCAGAGGGGGCGTCCGGTCTCGTCCTCATGTCCTTATGTCACTCACTCCTGGCCAGGCAGGAGGAACGCTGCAGTGTCCACCCCTTCCAGGCCACAGTCCTCCTTTAACCTCGCTGTCCTCCACCTGGCTGTTTTTCTAGGATCCCCAATATGACTGTGCAAAACACAAGAGGCATCCTCCAAAGGCCCATAAACAAAGATAAGGGTTCTACAGTCGGCTTTCACTGGAGCCACACAGGGTTCTCCCTGTCCTCGGGCCTTAGCTCAGCCTGGGCAGTCCTGCTGCTCCTCTCCCGAAGAGAAGATGGGGACTGAGAGAGACCAACAGCGAGATCCCCTGGTTCTGTGCTGTGTGTGCAGCTCCCACTCATCACCTTGTGTGCTTCCCTGCCCTTGAGCCCTGGAGACACAAATATATGCAGCTAATCACCTCTTTTCAGTCACTCATTCATTTAACAATAGTACATTTGATACATACGTATGGAGCATTTGTTTGACATGTTAGGTCTCCTCCCATGGCAGGAGATGGGGAATGCTGTAAACATGACTTTGCCATGGACCTCTAGAACCTTGAGGCCTCCCAAGAGCTTCAGCGGGTGTATTCACCAGGTTTCCTCACAGGCTATTTATGCAGAAAAGAGAGGTTTATGCCTCTCAGTTTGGGGGGTTCAAAGCCATGGCATCTCCATTGGCTAATATAGTATAAAAACTACAATGAAAGTGTGGGTTGCAGTTAAGGGTAAGGGGAGGGCTGGGAAGGAAAATAAAGCATATTATTACATGTATGAATACGAGGAAACAAACTCATTATTCTCTATCATGAATATGCGCTAATAAATTTGTTGGCAGAGTTTCAGATTCCATGCTGCAAACATAAAGAAACGAACCCTGGAATCTGTGCGTTGTGCTTCTCAGTAAAGATGAGGGGCCGTTTGGGCAGTGGCGAGTGGTGATTTCCGTTGTCCGAACTGGGGAGACAGGGCGGTGCCCCTGAGCCTCAGTGGGCAGCTGTTAGGCATTTGCCAGGACACTGCTGGATCCTTCGATGTTCTGGAGCATAGATAACCACCGCAGTGCACACAGGTGGCGCCTGGATCGTTCCATTCACAGACACAGAAGGAGCCTGGCTGTTTCAGGGCTCTCCTGGGGAGCCAGTGTGGACAGGGCAGTTTAGGTCCAGGCGGGGGCTGTGTTTGCACGGCAGTGTGAATTTGAAGTGGAGAACTGTACACTTGAAAATGGTTGGGATGGTTGTGCTTATTTTATTACAATGAAATGTAATAAACAATTTAGTAATTTTTTTTAGAAAAACACCCAGGTGTCTCAGAAGCATCACCAAGTTTTAAAGGCCCCCCCCATGCCTCCTCTCCTTGTTCCTGCAGGAGGCCATAATCCCCAGTGTGAATGCTGATTATGCCCTGCCCTTGTCTCTGTAGTAAAGTAGCATATCTGCATCTCAGTGCTCCTAAACAAAGGGAGGCATTCACAGGGCTGCTCAGGCTCCAAGTTCATCCTGGGTCCTGGTGGCCCTGGCAGGGCCAGCGGCTCCTGGGTGGGACCGCCTTGCCTGCACTGCAGTCTTGGACAGCATGGAAGATGGACCTGCAAGAGAAGTGCGTCCATTGGTGTGAGGTCTCTTGGGCTGTGTGTAGAGCAAGCAGGAAGTCCTGGCAGCTGAGAGGGTCACACGTTCTAGGCCCACCTGGACGACCCTTGGCAGAAGAGTGAGGGGGTGGGGAAGACACATAACTCACGGTGGCCAGGAGGGGGGGGCACGGAGCCAGAGAGGAAGGGGACAGGAACCAGGTGTGCCTGGACCCCAGGCCTCTGTGACTCACCCCCCCAGGCCTCTGTGACTCACCCGGAAGTGCGCTCCCCCAGTCCCCAAGGTGGGTCCCAAAGCCAATCAAGATGACACAGTGGGGTTTAACTGCCACACGGAGATAGATATTCTCACCCCACTCACAGATGAAGAAACTGGAACTTGGAGGGAGCCCTTCTTGGAAACACACTCACTGCTCAGTGGACAGGAGACTGACTCCCAGCCTCCTGACCCCCAGCAGGGCGCTTTCTTCTACCACACTGTGTTGGTCCACTTTCCCTTCTCCCTGAATGGCTCCAACCCCATTGCTGAGCCCCAGGCAGGCAAAGGCACAGACTTCACTCTGCTGGCTGGGGCAGCCTGTGCTGGGCCTCCTTCCTGGGAGAGCAGGGGGTAGGGGTCCTGGGGGGAAGTACTTCCCTCCACCAGCAGGAGAACTTGGAGTGCTTTATAGTAAAAAAGAAAAATGAACAAAGGTCCCATTTCAGAATCTATTGCCCTTCTCTCTTTCACTCTTCTGACTTTTACTGGTTATAAGTGTATAGTGTTAACTAAGAAGACAAAGGTATTTAGGGTAGCTTAGAATGTTAAAGAAAATATCATTATGACTTACATAAGGAAATGCACTTAATGATACCCCCAAGGGAAAATTCTGACTGGTTTATACATATAAACCTAAAACTAAGAAAAAAGGATTGTTACAATTTCACATCTCAAAGTGAACTCGGATTTAGTGTAATTGTTTTGTATCATGCATGTTTTGTCTTCCTGTTAATATATGTTTTTATCAGTTGGTTAAAGTACCTACAGCTGCTTCATTTGTTTTTTTTCTTGAGCTCATCTTAATTTCTTTTTCTTTCTTTCTTTTTTTTTTTTTTTGGTACCAGAGATTGAACTCAGTAGGCAGGCATGGTGCCACTGAGCTAAATCCCCAGCCCTCTTTTTTAATCTTTGTTGTTACAGATTTCTGGATCTGTTAAGGCCTTGCATAAAAAAATAGTCATACAGATATCCAAGGATTTCTAAACTCCCTTAAAAAACGGCAAAAACTACTAGGCTGGAGACTTATGTGAAACTTGCAAATAAGAATCTTAAATTTCAGTAACATAAAGATTTTGTAATTTAGGTTAGTATGTATGTTTCTGTGTGTTCATTGTCAGATATATTTTATCCTTCAAAGGTTTAAGTTGGCTTATAAACAAATGATGCATATCAACCCAAATACTTTGTTCCCATGACTTAAAAATGAGCTGGTTCAAATTGGTTGGTAAGATGATAGTAAAGTTGTTGTTAAATTTGGTGACGTGTTTCATCCAGGTCATTAGCCAATCGAGAGATGACAGTCAACCAATATGCACTGTGCTAAAATGAGAGTTACTAAAGAGAAATGTCCCCCATGCTTCCAAGGGAAGCCATTTGACCAAGCAAGACCATGACCCATCCTGGCAGATGATGCAACTGGTAGAGGAGCTAAGGGGGAGACAAGGGTCACAGCTCAAGCTGGAGTTTGCTGGCAGCTGGCGGGGCCCATGGGGGGACCCCAGTGGTCCCAACCCTGCCCTGGGACCTGGAGGTGGCTTTGCTGAGCAGCAAAACTCAGGGCTGATGTGCAAGTTCTGCCCGCACCACCTGCATGGCACTCTGCATGCACACGCACACCCTCACACACACGCACACCCATGCACTCACCCTACCCTTGCTCCACCACTGCGGAGCCAGTGAGCTCGGGCCCTCTGGAGCAGGGACAGGGAGGGCTGTGGCCGGCTACAGGTGGAGGCCTCCTGGGAACCCAGCCCAGCTCTGAGGCCCTCTGGGGACCCCGGGCACCTGCCTCTCCGGGCCCCAGGGTCCCTCTTATGGGTGGGGCATGGGAGCTCCATGCTGCCCAGCGGCCTTGGGGCTGCAACCTCTCCACAAGAATGTGGGGAGGCTCCCTGCAGGGGTACAGGAACCCCAGGCGCAGCTCAGCAGCACAGGGATTCCCCAGCTCCCAGTACTGGAGGACTGAGCTCGGGTCCACCATACAGGGATCCAGAGCGCTGTGTCTGCATTTGAGAGCGAAGGGAACACCAGCGATAGACTCGAGGAGCTGAGAGTGGTCTCCAGTCGCAGCAGCTAGGAAGCCTGAGCCTCCTTCCTGCAATCCCAAGGAATGACTGGAATGAATTTAGAAGTGATTGCCCCCCTCCCCCTCAGCTCGGCACACCTGGATTCTGGCCTTGTCAGGGAGAGAAATCGCTAGCACACCCAGCCTCCTGACAAGCAGGCCTAGGAGAAAGCAGTTTGCCAGGAAACAAAAGCCGTGCTGGGAGCTTGAAAATTATTAAAAGACCCAAAGCATTCGGACCACGATCTCAAGCTTGAAGTAAATGGTATCCATGGAAACCCGGATGTTTCAGGCTGCTACTTTCCTGGTGACTTCTTAGGCAGCAACAGAAACATGAAGGGACCCCAGAACTGCGAAGAAGCCTTGGTTAAATGTAACAGAACTTCTTCTCCACTTTTCTTTAAAACAACTGAAGGTTGATTGAAGAAAAGAGATGTAATTTGCCTATCTGGGCACACACAAAAGTAAGTCAAGTGTGTCAAATACCGTGCACTGGTAAAATAGAGTGTGCCAACCAACATCAGGCAGTAAATCAGCCCTTTTTTGTTTAAAGACACAATCAGATGATGCCGAGGTGCACGTCATTTGCATTTACCAGTGAATTAAAATACTGACTAGACCTTGTCAGAACAGAAAGTAAATGAGAACAAGATTTGAAGATTTGCAACGGGCGTGTATCAGGGAAAGTTAATATACATAGCAAAACCGGATTCATTTCAATGTATATCCTGCTCACTCTGTTCTATCACTGGAAAATTTAAGATTTTTTTCCATTTTCCAATTTATGCAAAGAGAAAAGAGAAAACATTACAGAAACTCACCTAAGTCTTGTGTATGAGTCCCTGATGGCTCTTTGGAAAGGTAAATTTTTCTCCCTGAACATAAATAAGACTGGGTCTTCTGAAGAGCTTAAGACCCCATAGGACAGTGATACAGGCATACCAATGTTTATAGCAGCACAATTTGTAATAGCTAAATCTTGGAAGCAGCCTCTATACCCATCAAAAAATGAGTGGATAAAGAAAATATATCCATATATAATGGAATACTACTCAAAGATAGGGATAAATTTGAGACATTTGTAGGGAACTGGATGCACTTAGAAAATATACTGTTAAGTGAAATAAACTAGACACACAAGCTTAAATACTGTATAGTATCTCTCATTTGAGTGAAGCAAAGTGCAAACAAAAAGAATAATAAAGCAGAGATGGAGACAAGGGGATGAATCTCTTGCAAATGAGAAATGATCAGAGGTAACAAGGGGAAAGGGTGAGGGAAATAGGAATGGGAAATAAGTAGAAAAATGGAGACAATTGTCCCTTTTTGGTGATCCCAGCTCTCCATCAGACTGTGACATTGGAAGTATCCACATTTAATAGCCCTGATAACATTTAAGCTTCCTTAACAAGATGGCAGGAGTCATCACCCTCCTGGGAGCATGGTCACTTCCAAGCCAAACTGAGCAGAACTACTTGGTAATGTCCATAAACAGCAAATGTGAGCACTCCACCAGCATTAAGGAAGGAAACAGAATTCTGTACACAGACATCTTCTGCTCATCAAAACAACAACAACAACAACAACAACAAAAACTCTGCTTTCTAAGTGAAATACTAATTTAACTTAGAATAAATACATGTAATCCTTAAGATCTATCAAGGAAAGCTATAAAAAATATTGTTCCAAGTAGAGCAGCATTCATTTAGGGGCAAAATAAATAAGTTTATGGTAGAGTAGAAAATTTAAAGTAATTTTCTCAAGCCCAAGAGATATTATTTTAAAATCTTAAATCTAAACTCTTCATTTTCTGAGATGTTTCAACTTAGTGCAAAATAGTTGTAGAATCTGAAAAGCAAGAAATTTAGCAAATAAATATTTCCCATTTTTGCCAATGATTAAAATTTCTAGACCTATTTTTGATTAGCTAATACAACATTTTCATTATTTTCTTCAAGATGCTTACTTGTTAAAAGTCCATGATGAATAAACATCATGGGGTCCTATTCAATTTCTCCAAAATTTGGACTCCTATTAGCCTTTTCTGTCTTCCTACCTAATCACAGTAGATGTACCAGGGATGGCACCTAACCTAAGCTGGTTGTTTCACAGATTACAGGTTACTTACACTCATTATGCTCAGTGCAAGAACAGATATATTCAGATTTCTTCTCCGGAATTCTGACAACAGAAACTGACAGTCTGGATGAAGTGGGGAGAAGCTTCAGAGACACAAGAGAGAATCTTAAAGCCTGAAGCCATGTGAAAGGATATGTTTTGGACAAGCAGAGATAAACAGATAATAAAAAGAAAATAAAAATTAAGAAGAAAATGATGAATTGCATCCAAGCTCAGAGAATATTACAGAGGATAGAAATCTAACTTTCCAGAATCTTGAGTTACTAATGACTCTAATTTTTCCTTGAATCTACAAAGGCACTTCATTTTTGGTCAGATATTTTTTAAGAAAAAAAGCTTTCTATTTTTAATAACTACGTTAATTGAGACTGACTGAACCATAGTGCCTGATTCATTATCTCTAAAATACCTGTTATAACTTTTACGAAATTCAAGAAATAAAATAACTAAATACTCTTCATTTTTAGTTATAAGTAGGAAGAAGACAAATATTAACCAGAACATCTGTAGAGAACTGCACCAAAAATGTTACGTAGCAATACAGTGTCTAGTTTCTTGGGATCATGAGTGAAATGGGAACGTCTAGGATTATGTAGGGACTATTGGGTTGAAAATTAAGTATTAATAGATGAACAATGAGCTTTGAAAGATATAAGAAAGTGAATTTGGCCAACTGCAGGACCTTGATTTTGCAAGTCAGAGCTGATTTGTTAAGGAAAGTAGAGGTCACTGCACTCAAAAAACATTCCTGTAGTTGTCACATTCTTTGATTAGTATGTTAGTATTTTCAGATTCTCTGTGATCTAGTGAGTGTACCCACTGTCTCTAGGGCACATAATAATTTCTACCTTAATTTGAGGTATATGTGCTCTTATATAGGTTCAGTAATTAGCATTCTATTGTAAACAAGAGAAATTAATTGTGATGTGAGAGAAACTAATAATTCCCCCCAATTTAGAGAGGATCAAATTAGGAGTAAAAAGCAAATTTTACCAAAAGAATCACATGACTACAGACACAATAAATGAGATAAAGGCAACTTTCAGAAGAGTGAAGTTTTCTCTCTGTATTCCATCGCTGTTCTAGAAGGATCTAGGTAAACACAAAATCAGTTTTCACAGTATAATCCAGAGTTGAAAGAAAAATTACCCAAAGTGTATATACTGTTGGTTACAACAGGAAACTTCTCTACATACTTAAATCTAACATTTTGCATGAGTCAGGAAGAAAAAGATGATGACAAGGGATGATGGAACAAGTCTCTAAGCATAAGATATTATTGTATTCAACCAACAATGAAAAGGTGATATTCTCTATTGCCTTTTTTGAGGTCCATTCAAACTATGAAGGACTTGAAACATCCTTTCATTACATAATATCTGAGATCAACTTCTTGCTCCACAACTTGCTCATGGCGTTTTTCACTTCTGCATTCCTCAGTGTGTAAATCAGAGGGTTGAGCAAAGGTGTTCCAATCGTGTAAAACACCGCTATCATCTTATCCATGGGGAAGGTGGTGGCAGGGCGTGTGTAAATAAATATGCAAGGTACAAAGAACAAGAAGACCACGATGATGTGGGAGATGCAGGTGGAGAGGGCTTTTCTCCTCCCTTCAGCACTATGGTTTCTGAGAGAATGCAGGATGACAATGTAGTTGAATATCAGTAAGACAAAACTCACTGAACAAATGGCCCCACTGTTGGACACCAGGAGCAGGTTGACCACGTAAGTGTCTGCACAGGCAAGTTCCAACAGGGGCTCTAGGTCACAGAAATAGTGATCGATCACATTAGGTCCACAGTAAGGCAGACTCAAGGCCAGAAAAATCTGAGCTAAGGAGTGCACACAGGATCCCACCCAGGCCATGGCCATCAACACTGCACAGACCCTGCGGCTCATGATGGTCGGGTAGTGCAGGGGCTTACAGATGGCCACATAGCGGTCCACGGCCATGAGGATAAGGATGAAGATCTCCAGGCAGCCAAAGAAATGGAATGTAAAGACCTGGATCATACACTCACTGAAAGTAATAGTGGCCTGCTCCACAAGCATGTCCACAATCGTTCTAGGGGCGATGGAAGTGGAGAAGCAGGTGTCTGATAGGGATAAGTAGAAAAGGAAGAAGTACATTGGACTCCCAAGTGCCTGACTGGTCTTGATGGTGGTGATAATCAGCAAGTTACCCATCAGTGTCCCCAGATAGAAAACCAAAAAAATGATGAAAACAATTTTCTTCCTAACAGGATCTTGTGTCAACCCAAGTAGAATGAACTCAGTCACATTATTGTTCAGCTGCATGACTTCATGAATGTGGAGAAAGGATGACTGTGAAAAGGGTTATCTGCCAAAAAAAAAAAAGGAATTAATTTATGATGTCCTATGAGAAGTTATGGATTATTCCAAGCTGATTAAATATTTTTATCACAGACATTTTGTCTATATCTTTTAATAAGTTACTCCAAATCTTCCTCTTCAAGTTTATGGACCACTTTGTGTTGTTATGAGTCTCAAATATGCTTATGAATGCAATTCTTCCCTATAGCATTTTTTAAATACAAACCCTTCTTAACTTTGGGATGATTTTAATTAGTTTTGGCAATTCTATGAATTTAAAGTTAAGAGTTATGGATCTATCTTACTATTAACTACGTTTCATATGCATAAACATTAAGGACTGTGATTTGTATGTATATCACTGAACATTTAAGATACATTTGGCTGGTTTATTTCATAATATAAGTACATATGCCATCAACACTCAAAAAGTATACATGTATATATCATTACTTAGAAAATCTTTCTCCCTGTTTCCTATCATCTGTCTTTTAGGAATGAGTGGAGACAGAAAGGAGGAGAGAAGGAGGATTAAGATACAATATGTAGGGCCAGGGATTTAGCTCAGTGGTTTTTCTGCCTGCTGTGCAAGCTCAAGGCCTCGAGTTCAATCCCTGGTACCAAAAAAAAAAAAAAAAGATACAATATGTATATGCACTAATTGGAGAGACAGATAACAATTCCCCACAATGAATGTATTCATTATATATCACAAACATGTACTAATAAAAAATAAGTAAGTAAATACATAAATTATGTTTGACCTTTAAAAATTAGTAACCCTCCTTAACTTTTAGAATAAAATGTTATATTACAAAGCTACAGCAAAAAAACCTGGATGGTTCTGGCACAAAAATAGACAAATTGCTTAATGGACAGAATAGATGATGCAGAAACAACAACATGCGCATAAAGCCATCTGATCTTTGACAAAGAGACCAAAAGCATATGCTGGAGAAAAAGTCATGTCTTTAACAAATGATTCTGGGAAAACTTCATGCTGAGAAATTTGTCTAGACCCATATTTCTCACCCTGTACAAAATCAAATCAAAATGGACTAAGTACTTATTAAAAAACATTGAATGTGTTACAAAATAAAATAGGTAAAACTATTGATGACATAGACATAGGCAAGGACTTCCTCAACAGAACCTCAATTGCACAAGAAATAATAAGAATCAACGAATGGGATTTGTCTTAGTTACTCTCCTGTCTGTTGGACACCCATAACTTAATGAAAAAAGGTTGATTATGGTTCAAGGTTTTTGGAGGATTCAGTTCATAGTTCTGGCTGTAAGACAGAAAGGGAATGGCGGAAGGGGCTGGGCAAAGGACAGAAGCTCATTTAAGGCAAGCAGACAGTAGAGAGAAAAAATGAGACAGGGACAATGGACCTTTCCTGGTCATGTTCCCAGTGATCCCTACTTCCAGTGAGGCCTGATCTCCTAAGAACACATTCAGCTTCTGAATTCATCAGTGGATTTACCCATTGATATACTGCATAGAGTGCCCCACTGAGTATGTTGCCCCTATGATTCAGTCACTTTCCACACACACGAGAATTTGGGAGGAAATTTCAGATCTTCCCCTTTCCCTCCAAAAGACTTATATCCATCTCATTATGCAAAATGAGTAAGTTCATCTCTAAGAGTTGAAAAAGCTCTAACAGTTCCAACACTGCCAACAAGTCCAAGTCCAAAGTCTCCTCTGACACTTAAGGCAAACACTTAGCTGTGAGCCCCTGTAAAAATAAAAAAGAAAATTAAATATTTCCAACATATACAGGCATAGGTTAAACATTCCCATTCCAAAAGGGAGAAATGGAAGGATAGAAAGGAATTAAACCAAAGCAAGATCAAAACTCAGCAGGGCAAACAATAAATCCAATCCCATAGCTCTATTTCAGCACCTGGGTCAGATTATGGAGAAATGTGAGCTCCAAAGGACTGTGGCAGCCCTGCCCCTATAGCATCCTGCATTGCAGCTCTCCTGACTTCTCTCTTTCATTGGCTCTGCTCACTGAATCTAGCTTTCCTCTGCAGACATGAGATGTTCTGGCATCTCTAAATTCTTGGAGTTTTCAGTCATTTCCTTCTCAGATGCACACTTTCCGGCTTCCCAAACCTTCTTATGAAATCAGGGTGGAAGCTTCCATGACCCCATAACTCTTGTATTTTGCATGCATGAAAAACTAGCACCATGTGGATATGCTAAGATCTACTGCCAGCTCAAGTCATAGCCAGAACATCCTTGATCATAGGTATACAAGATTCTGTGTGCCTGCATGGATGAGCACTGTGAAACAAATCTAAGGAAAGCATTCCCCTAACCAGCCCTTCAGGAGCAGAATGAATTGAAAAGCTTACACTTTTGAAACCCTAAGCCTGTGAAGGCTCGGGGGAGGGGTGTCTTGTTAATTCCTGAGATGCCTTCAAGTTATATTTCTTGTTCTGATGCAAAGTACTTGAATTCTTTTTAATGCTAATCTTTTTAGTAGTCATGCTGTTCTTTACCCCAACTTTGCAGGCAATTCCTTTCTGGCAAAACTAAAAACTTTTTACCTTTGAATTTTGGTCCTTATTCTTATTGTATATGTGATGAAAGGAAGCCAACAGTACCCATGCCTCAGCCAGAGTATTGGGCTGCTTTGAAATTTCTCTTGGCAGATAAATTAGTTCACAGGCACATTCTGCAAAGACTCAGCATATCAGCAAAACATACACAAATTTTCTATCAGAACATAGCACACATGGCTCTTGTTCATCTGCCAGTAGACTTGTGTTTGCAACTGAAAATTCATGAGCTTGCCATTTACTGTGTGTATTTTTATCAGCATTCTCGTCTTGGGACCTCTGACCAGAATCTCTTTCCAAGCTCAAATTAAAACATTCTAGGGCTTCTCTAACTTGTATCTCCAAATTTTTCCAAGCTTTTCATTCAAACCACCTCTGAAGGCTTCTGAACCACATGGTGAGGTATAGTAATAGCAAGCATCCTATTCTTGGTATTAAAATCTCTTTTGATTATTTCCTCATTGCTTGGACATAGCACCCAACATCCACAATTTAAAGGAGGAGAGGTTTATTTGGATCATGGATTTTAGAGGATCCAAATCAAAATTAGCAGGCTCCAAAGTGGAAAGAGCGTGGTGGCATGGTCTGGGGAGAGGACAGCTGCTTTTCCCATGGCAGCCAAGAGGCACAGAGTGAGAAGGGAGCAGCCTTCAGAACAAGAATGCACCCTTCCAGGTCATGTCCCTGGTGACCCACATCCAACCAGTCCCCTCCTCCTAATAGCACATGCAACCCCTGAACTCATCATCCAGCGAATCCCTTGATGATTGTACAGCCCCCATGAGCCAACCACTTTCTATACACATGAGAATTTAGGGGGACATTGTAAATCTAAACTGTAACAGGGTGGTATCAAATTAACAAGCTTCTGCACACAAAGGAAAGAACCAACAGAGTAAAGAGATAACCTATAAAAATGTTTAAAAAATGCCACCTATGCATCAGAGGACTAATATCCAGAATATAAAAAGAACTCAAAAAATAGACTCCCCAAATAAAAGACCCAATCAGAAAATAGGCAATTGAAATTGGTAGACACTTCTCCAATGTATAAATGACCAATAAATACATGAAAAAATGTTCATCTTTCTCCATCAGAGAATGCAAATCAGAACAACACAGAGACTCCTTCTGACTCCAGTAAGAATGTCTCTCACTAAGAACCCAAAAGATCAAAGGGTGGCAAGGACCCCTCTACATTGTTGGTAAAAATGTAAGCTAGTAAAATCACGACAGAAATCAGTATGGAGATTCCTCCAAAAACTGAAAATGGAAATTCCATTTGACGCAGATCTACTTCTTCTGGGTATCTTTTCAAAAGATTTTAAAACATCAAATTACAGCAAACCACACATTCTCATGTTTATAACAGCATAGCTCATAATAGCTAAATATAGATGTAAACTACAGAGCCAACAGCAAATGAATGGATAAAGAAAATGTACCATGTATAAACAATACAGTATGCCTTAGCCATGAAGGAGGATAAATTTGAGTCATTTGTAGGAAAATGGATGCACGTTAAGGCCATAATATTAATTAGACCATAATATTAAGACCATACTATTAATAATATTAATTAGAGCAGACACGCAAGCTTAAATAATGCATGGTTTCTCTTATATGAAAAACCCAAAGTATAAATCATTAGAAGAACACACAAAAGATAGATTATGGGAACAGGGAGGCAGACTTTGTGGATATGGGAATGGATTCTGGGGATGCAGGGCTATGGGAGGGGAAGGCAATGTAAAATGATAAAGATGTAAAATGTATGGGTATTGATTCTCTCAAGAAGACAGTGATTATTATGTATCACAAACATATTCCAATTAAAACAGAAACTGAATAAGAGGATGAGGCAGGGACACAGAGAATCTCAGGACTCTTTCTATGCTTCTATGCTGTTCTTCAGAGGCCAGAATCAGTGTTTCTTCAGGACTCTCCTAAAGGATGCACTCCTCTTTGATTTAGATATATTAGACTTTTGTCTTTAAAATAATCCCTACACTCACTTTATTTCTATGCAGAGTTTAGCCTTCTCTACACTAAAGTGAACAATCTCACCCCCTTCTCAAGCCCAAATGAATGAGTAATGGAAAGGATGCTGCTTTCGTTCCTTGCTTGCTAGCTCAATCTCATGATTCCTGCTCTCTGGTGAATATATACCATCCTGAGGACCAGTAAGAATCATAAAATTCAGTGCCATCCTATTCTATGTATACGTAGTTGCCTTAACTGTCAGAAAGTTAATATTTATTCCTCTTTCCAAATCTTACTAGACATAGAACATAGAGTGATGGAAGGGTAAGGTAGACAAGATGACAAGTTCCAGAAGGCTAGACAGAGACAAATATTGAGGAAAAGACTTTTATCCAAAATATTTTGAGGATTGGCAATAATATGGCATCTTTCTTTCACCTTCAAAATGTATGAGTACTTATATATAAATTATTATTATATTAGTTATTATATCATTATACAGCATATATATTAACCTCTTAATTTTCATGTTGGGACATTCTCTGAAAAATAATTATTCATCTTTTTAATCTAAATATTAGATATAGATCAAGTATAAATTATATTCTTTATACTAGTGTTTAAGCCAC